TTTTTTTTTTTTTTTTTTTTAATTTTTAATTTTTAATTTTCTGTTTAGGAAAATGAAATTTGTGTTTATATGTATGTGTGCGAGTTATTCGTTTCTTCTCGTGTAATTTGTTTGCTTGAGCTGGGAATGTGTTTGATCAAATTGCTGTTCAGTGGTTCGTGAATTTATCTCATTGTTTCATTTTCGGATTGTTCTTGATGTGATTGTGTTCTCTTACACTGAGATCTAGAAATGTGGTCGCTGAGTGGTGGTTTTTTCAACAGTCTTGTTGTTCCTTTGTTCTTTGCATATACGGACACGCGGTCACGCCCCACTCGCGAAGTTTAATCTTCACAGTTCATGTTTCGTAGTTTACAGATGTCGTTGCCGGTGTTTCGTTTTGGTTTCTCCTTAATGTTATACAGTAACGATCGCCAACATTTTATCCATTTGGTCTTTTCGTCGAATTAAACTTTATTGGTGTATCGGACAGATTTACTGTTCGTATATAGCTGGAAAAAGTTGTTGGCCGAATTTAATTGGATCTGAAATTCCTGATTGGAAGCTTGTTTGTTCTCTCTTTTTTCCCTCTTTCAGAAGAGTGAAGTTAATGCATGCATTATTTTCTGCCAGCAAGAAAAATTTCCTTTGCCATATATATTTACACATTTGTTTTTTCAAAAATAAGACTGCCTTGGAAGTTGGGAGTGAGTGACAGAGTATAGTAAGCACGAAGTCGCTTGGAATGAATAATTGCAATCGTCAATATCTATGTGCCACTGTTCGGATCATGAATGACCCCAACCTGTGGCCTGCCTGTATAAGGACTCATTCGTTGTTTCTGTCTGGGTGGCTTAAGCGCCCCAACGACCCTCCTCTATTTTACCAAAACGCGTTGCGTTGTTGCAGTATTATAAGCCGAGTGGCTAGATAGGATTGTGCTAGAATGAGCTTCCTACCCACATGTAATGCTTTTTGTGAAACGTCAGTGCATTTTAGCAGATTCATTTTTGAATTGGTTGGTTGTTTTGAGGGATTCCTTTGTGAATGCTTTGTTCTCTTGTTCTCTATTTATGAATCATCTTGGTTTTTTCTGATAATAATTAGCTCAGATAATTTCTTCCTTGGCCTCCTGCTGTTTATGGTTGATTTGGTTTTCTGCAACTCCACTATTTTTTTTTTTTGTTAAATATCAATTCTAGTTTTCTAGCACATATAGGTTGTGCCTACTCGAGTCTCTACTTGGATGCTCGGAATTTCTGATCTAGCATATTTTCGCGTAAGTGAATTTTATCTAGTAAAACTGTGGATTTAACATTTTGGATTGTTGCCCCTTGTATAGGTTTGAGAGTACCTGCACTTTACTTGCAGATCAAGTTCTTGTCTTTCTTCTTCCCTTTGTTTGATTGGTAACTAAGAGATAAGAGAAGTAGTGGAAACTCATGGCATCAAGATCCCCCACAAATTTTTTGGACCTGGCTTCTGGAGATTTACTTGATCTTCCTCGTACACCTAGACCCCTACCACGGGTAATGACTGTTCCTGGAATTATTTCAGAAATGGATGACTATGGGAGCAATGACGGAGATTCGGAGTCTTCATCTGTATGCCGTGAGCGCAAAATCATAGTTGCAAATATGTTGCCCTTGCAAGCTAAAAAAGACGGGCAATCTGGCAAATGGTGCTTCAGTTTTGATGAGGATTCAATTTTATTGCAATTAAAGAATGGGTTTTCACCTGAGATGGAGGTTATATACGTGGGTTCCCTCAAGGTTGAAATCGACGCCAACGACCAGGAAGAGGTTGCTCAGAAGCTTTTTGACAATTTTAATTGTGTACCTACATTTCTACCACATGATCTACAGAAGAAATTTTATCTTGGGTTCTGCAAACAACAGATATGGCCCTTATTCCATTACATGCTACCAATGTGCCCAGAGCACGGTGATCGCTTCGATCGGCTGCTTTGGCAAGCCTATGTTTCTGCAAATAAAATATTTGCTGACAAGGTGATGGAAATCATCAATCCTGAAGAAGATTCTGTTTGGGTTCATGATTACCATTTAATGGTTCTTCCAACATTTTTAAGGAAGCGCTACAATCGAGTTAAACTTGGATTTTTTCTGCATAGCCCGTTTCCGTCATCAGAAATCTATCGAACTTTACCAGTTCGGGATGAGATTCTCCGTGGCCTGCTAAACTGTGATTTAGTTGGTTTTCATACGTTTGATTATGCTCGTCACTTCCTCTCATGCTGTAGCAGAATGTTGGGCCTGGACTATGAATCTAAGCGGGGACATATTGGACTAGATTATTATGGCCGCACGGTATATATCAAAATTCTTCCTGTAGGCATTCACATGGGTCGGCTGGAATCGGTGATGAATCTTCCATCTACATCTGCTAAAGTCAGAGAAGTTCGAGATCAATTCATGGGGAAGAAATTAATTCTTGGTATTGATGACATGGACATTTTTAAGGGCATAAGCCTGAAGCTTCTCGCTGTTGAACAGCTTTTACGGCAACGTCCTGAGTTGCGAGGCAAATTAGTCCTGGTTCAAATAGTGAACCCTGCAAGGGGATCAGGTAAAGATGTACATGAAGCTCAGAAGGAAACCTACTTGGCTGCTGAAAGGATCAATGAAGCTTATGGTTCAAATAACTACAAACCTGTAATTCTGATTGATCGCCCTGTTCCACGTTTTGAGAAGACTGCTTATTATGCATTAGCAGAATGCTGCATAGTGAGTGCTGTAAGGGATGGTATGAATTTGGTTCCATACAAGTATATTGTTTGTAGGCAAGGAACTCCTTTTATGGATAAGGCTATGGGCTTACAAGTTGGTTCTCCTCGGACGAGTATGCTTGTAGTGTCCGAGTTTATTGGTTGCTCGCCTTCTTTAAGTGGAGCTATCAGGGTTAACCCTTGGGACATTGATGCTGTCGCGGATGCCTTGGAATTGGCCATTACCATGCCGGAGTCAGAGAAGCAGTTGCGGCATGAGAAACATTATCGATATGTCAGTTCCCATGATATAGGATATTGGTCTCGAAGTTTTATGCTGGATTTAGAGAGAGCATGCCAAGATCACTATAGTAAACGGTGCTGGGGAATTGGCTTGGGTCTGCGTTTTAGAGTTGTTTCTCTTTCTCCTGGGTTTAGGAAGTTAACAATTGATCACATTGTCTCAGCTTATAAGAGAACACATAGAAGGGCGATATTTTTGGATTACGATGGCACTATTATTCCGCAAAGCTCCATAATTAAGACACCGAGCCCAGAAGTTATCTCCGTCTTGACTACGCTTTGCAATGACCCCTGTAACACTGTGTTCATTGTTAGTGGGAGGGGGAGAAGTTCTTTAGGTGAATGGTTTGCCTCTTGTGAGATGTTGGGGATTGCAGCAGAACATGGGTACTTTATAAGGTATTTGCTCAAAATGTTCGATTCATGTTGAGCTTTTTAATATTACAAGTTTCTTTGGTTCAATTTCTAAGCTTCTTATTTTTTGTAGGTGGGGTGGAACTTCAGAATGGGAAACCAGTCCAGTGTCTTCTGATCTGGATTGGATTAAAATTGTAGAGCCAGTGATGAGATCATATACAGAAGCAACTGATGGGTCGTGCATAGAACCAAAAGAGAGTGCTTTAGTCTGGCATCATCAAGATGCCGATTCTGACTTCGGATCCTGTCAAGCTAAGGAATTGCTGGACCATCTAGAAAACGTACTTGCCAACGAACCAGCCGTTGTTAAAAGGGGTCAACATATTGTTGAAGTGAAGCCACAGGTATTCTTTTTTATTGTCGGGTTCTTCCTTATCTATCTCATCAAATTATCATCCCTTCAGTGTAATATATTCTTGAGCTGTTGTTATTACTCGCAGGGAGTAAGCAAAGGGTTGGTCGCAGAAAAGGTTCTCTCGAGAATGGTAGATAGTGGAAGACCACCTGATTTTGTGATGTGCATCGGAGATGATAGATCAGATGAAGATATGTTCGAGAGCATATCAAGCATTGTCTCTAGTCCTTCACTGCCTTCCGCACCAGAAATTTTTGCCTGCACTGTTGGGCGAAAGCCAAGCAAGGCGAAGTTCTACCTTGATGACACTTCCGACGTCGTGAAATTGCTGCAAGGCCTTGCCTCTACTTCACGTCCAAGACCTCGGCAACTACCCCAAATGCGTGTTTCCTTTGAAAGTGTGTTTTGAGAGTATTACCCACATCACTCGAGTGCTTGCTTCTTCTTAGACAGGATTTGGTGGAAGCGGAGCGAGTTGAAGGGTTCGTAGTGTGGATGATCATTCTCACAATCCACTCGAAGGCTTGCTTCTTCCAAAGGATCCTTTATAAGAATTGGTGCACGGAAAGGCCCTTGCTGAATCAGCAGTTGAGGCGGTTTTATAACTTGAAGAGTGATATTTGGTATTTTGGTCAATATCCTCAGCAGCAACTAGAGTTTCCTTTTGTATATAATAACAACAGCATCATTTATAGCTTCTGACGCCCACTAAAATTGTCCTCTCCTCGAGATGTCAATAGTGTTGGGGGGCAGCATTATTAACTTGTATAGGAAGAACAACTCTTTCTTGGCCGCATTGCATAAAGCCTCTGATTTGATGCTTCTTTCTATAATGATTCTTTTATTGTTGCAGTAGAGCAAATTACAACTTATTGTTGAAAGCCAAGCCTTACGAGTTGTCTTTATTTGTGTCCATTACAACTTGCTTGCAAGATGGGAAGAGAGTGGGGCTGTGGTTTAAAATTGCAATTATTTCTGCCCTGCATTGTAAATATTGATCGCCTATTATTTTGCTCGATGCCTTAATGTTTCATAAGAATGTTATATTGATTGAGATTTTGAGAAGTTTATCTTTCTTTTTATATCCTCATTTTTAAGTTGAAGCTAATGGCGAATAATTTTTAATTACATTGTTAGTATATCAACCATCATTAAAATGATTCAGGTTTAATATTGGTAGATCATTAGTATATCTATACAAACACGTTCTATCAATAATTTATCATTACTCATACCAACTTCATCTAAAACATAACATTATTGTTTCGGTATATAGTATTATAAAATTCGTAAAGAAAGGGTAAATTTGGAATATTAGAAAAAAATGAAATTCCAAGTTTGTAAAATTTGTATGTTTATAGTTGTAGGAACAAGTCTTGTTTATCTAATCAACGTACCATTTGGAATCATTTTTTTTTTCTTAAACAGCAATAAAAAATAATTAAAATAGAGATACTATTTTGTTTCCTAACTAAATCAAGTGCAAATGCTATCGAAACGACGTCGTTTAGTTCCGTAGAAGACTAGAAGACGGTCGTCGGAAGGAAGTGCATGATAGACAGAGAAGACTTGTGCCAGATTCATCCACTCAGGATCGGCTGTGATCCAGTTAACCCGCCATACCGGTAACGTTAATAAAAACTTCTCAAAAAAAAGAAAAAAAGAAAAAAAGAAAAAAAAAAAGAAAAAAGGAAAAAAAAGGAAAGAATTCTCCCGTGCTTGTGTTTTTCGGTTCATTTCATTCCCATTTATTTCTTATATATATATATTTATTTATTTATACTTTAATTTTGATGTTCTAAGTTTTTGATCACAGCGTCGAAGAGAGCTTGGCGCATTCATCAGAAGCGGGAAGGAGGAGCCCGACACAAGCTTGAACACATCTTCAGATCCAAACTCTCTCTACTCCCCATCTCAGATCTCTCCAAAACCCGTTGGGATCTCGGATTTCTTATTCACAGCATTCAAAATCGTTGCATAATCTCCACACCTTTGCTCAATTACGCCCTGCTCCATCTATTCATTCCGATCTTCTATCCCTTTCTTGGAGCTTCGACCTGGACTTAATCATGAATCCCTTTTCCTCTGGGACGCGTCTCAGGTAAGCTTGCAACCGCAGTGTACTCTTTCGCGGATCACTTTTCTACTATATTTCAATTCTCATTTGTTCCAGCTGTTGTTTTTGGACCGTTTTCCGTTTTTCTTTTGGTGTTTTGGAATGGAATTCTTGCGGAACTAGGTAATTCATGACTGAGGAGTTTGAGTATAACACCGTTTTTTATGTCAATACTGGGAATTTTGCTGCTGAAGCTGCGTTTTTCTCTTTTTGGGAATGGTAACGAGTGCTTAGGTTGGGTTTTCCAGCAGCATTTTCATGCTTGTTGGGTTTAATTAGTGGCGTCCAGTCAATAAGTTCGAAGCGGGGTAGATTTAGAGGCGAATACCGAGTCAGTTATTGAAATACGAGGGAAGCTATGCATAAACCGTGAAGCATGTTCTTTGAATTATCACTCCCAACAATGTTTTGGATTGTTAGTTCTCGTCATCCATTTATTAACGGTTATCCGTTGTCGTCATGAGAAGTGCGGCTCTTCTATAACCCCTTCGAAAGTCTTTCTTCTTGTTTGCAATAAAAATGTTTATTACATTTGACGCAAGTGTAAATCCATGCACAATTAGCAATGAGAAATCTTTCATATAAAATTGCAACAAGGTGTTCTTCTGATCCAATTCTTAAGTATTTTATCTGGCCTGATTCGCGAATTTCTCAAGGAATTTTGTGGATTAGCAGTCTTTTAAGCTTCTGATGTAGTAATCAATTCTGAAACCTCTTTCAAATAAAAGAAATTTTTATGCGTCTTCATGTTGCATCCTAAGGTTTTAACTGTGCAGTTACTATACACTATGCAGAAAGTGCTACATTTATTTCTTAATATTAAATCTTCCCTTTTTTCCCCAGTTTCTTCATGTTTTTACGTTGAGCTTCACCTATGGGTCTGTAATTAGCAAATGAAGTAAAGTTCAGTTCCTTTAAAAAAAAAAAGCATAATTAGTAAATGGTTGACATATTTGTGGCATTGATATCTTTTATAAGCATCTTTAGCCAAAGACTATGTTTATCATACGGCTATTACTTGATGCTTTAATACAGGGACATGATTCGGGCCATTCGTGCTTGTAAAACTGCAGCAGAGGAACGTGCGGTAATTCGAAAAGAGTGTGCTGCTATTCGAGCTGCCATTGATGAGAATGATCATGACTATAGGCATCGAAACCTTGCCAAGCTCATGTTCATTCATATGCTTGGTTATCCCACACATTTTGGTCAAATGGAATGCTTGAAGTTGATTGCCTCTGCTGGTTTCCCAGAAAAGAGAATTGGGTATCTTGGCCTCATGTTACTTCTAGATGAAAGACAAGAAGTTCTGATGTTGGTCACAAACTCATTAAAACAGTATCCATTCTTCATCATTTTCACATTAGTGATCCTAAATCTTGATTATTTGTCTTGGAAGTTCATTTTTCAGAGAACTATTTGAGGTATATTATCTGCATGAACATTTAAGGAGGAAGAATTTAAGCTTTTGCATTTTCCTTAACCTTAATTGCTCTCAGAGATCTCAACCACTCAAACCAGTATATCGTAGGACTTGCTCTCTGTGCTTTAGGAAATATTTGTTCAGCTGAAATGGCTCGTGATCTTGCACCAGAAGTTGAAAGACTTCTACAGTTTCGGGACCCAAACATTAGGAAGAAAGTAAGTTTTCTAAGTAGTAATCTGCAGTGTTTTAATTAGAATTTTTTCTGATTTAAAGGTCGGGTAATATGTTCAAGTTCCACTTTTCCTGTTTGAGGATAAAAGTTATTTAGTTTTAGTCATCACATTTGATGAATTTTTGCTAATTTATTGGAATAATATCATTTAGAAACACAGTTTTTCCATATAGATGAAATAGACTTGATTCGGTTGTAAGAACTTGTTACAGACTGAATCATGTCATGTGGAGTTGTGTTTTTGCTCAGACAGTGTGACACAATTTTTTTGAGGTGTTCAACTTCAGCTTTGTTAGCAGCTGGAGTTGCTGGGAGGCGTTTGAGGAGTTTTTCCTTCATCCGTCCTTTTGTGGTAAAAGACGGGTTTTGTTGATGACTGGGGTGTGTGCTATTTTGTGGGGGCTTTGGGGTGAGAGACAACAGAATCTTCAGAGGGCATGAGAGATCTTTGGTTCCTTTTTAGATTCTCTGTTTCTCTTGGGCCTCTATTTCTCGGCTTGACTAGAGTCACTTCTTGTAGTCAGGGTCCTTTTTGAGGACTTTTCCTGTTTTTTGTGCCTGTATATTCTATCATTTTTCCTTGATGAAAATCATTTTTTTTTTCATTATATATATATCTTACACTACTGCTTCTGTTGTAATTCATATAGTTAACTAAGGATTTTTTTCCCATTTGTTCTTTATGAATTTTCTCAAATACTAAAAAGGTTCTATTCTCGTAATTTGAGAGCTTCCGATGGTGAGTGCAGGCAGCATTGTGTTCAATTAGGATTATAAGGAAAGTACCAGACCTTGCAGAAAATTTTGTTAACCCTGCTGCCTCCTTACTGAAAGAAAAGCACCACGGGGTTATGATAACTGGAGTTCAATTGTGTACAGAGCTTTGCAAACACAGTTCAGAAGCCCTTGAATATTTTCGTAAGGTATTTTACTGCGCCGTTATTGGTTCACATATTCATGTCTGCATGATTTGTCCATGTCCTCCTGATCTTGGTGATTGACTATGCTGAAACTGCTGGTCTATTTTGTTCTTGCTGGATGTCATCTAGAAATATGAATCTTTTTCAACATGTAGCATTACTATTATGTGTATTTCTTTGCACTGTTGGATGTGATGTTGAATTATGTATTGTAGTTCATTTCACTCGGGCTCATTTATGATACACCAGCCTCAGCCAACCAATTCCAATCTCTCTTCCGAACGTTTTAGCTAACCAGCACACAATTTAATTGATTCTATCCGTAAAGAAAAACCCAACTCGTTGATCATGGATATATGGGTTGAATTTCAATACTCGATAAGTTCTAACACCGACACTAGTCTACTGTTTCTTATGTTCTAATATTTTGAATGTAAGCATTGTTTCTTATCATTTTTTTGAAAAATATGTAAGCAATAGCTTATGTTCTCAGTGACTCTTGCAGTAGTTTAATTTATATAAAAGGTTTACAATGTTATATTTTCTTAAGATGAGTTTTTTTTGGGACACAACAATGTTTCATATTAGGTTGAAACGATGGAGCTATGGTCTTGGTCTTTGTTTCTAAAAGAAAATTGTATTTTACCATGATACAGAAGTCCACAGAGGGTGCAGTCAAGACACTGAAGGATTTGGTTAATAGTCCATATGCCCCTGAGTATGATATTGCTGGAATAACGGACCCATTTCTCCACATCCGGTTGCTTAAGTTTTTGCGTGTCTTGGGCCATGAAGATGCAGATGCTAGTGACTACATGAATGATATACTTGCGCAGGTAAGTTATAGCCAGTTACAATGGTGACCCTTATTTTCCTGTCATATTATTTTCAAGCATTTGGCAGGTTATTTCACCGTAGAGAAAAGATATCTCAACTGTATTCTTATTTCAAGACGTAGATCCACTATCTATTTTAATTTCTTATTCCAACCGCCCCTTGTATTGTGTGAGTAAGCATCAGCCAAAGTTTCTACATTTTATGCACTAGTAGAGTTAGGCAACATCTTATCAAACTTAGGTCATTCTTATGTCGCTCTTATTGTATTTTATTTTCTTACTATGTGGGAGAAAAATTTCGCCTTTTTATTTGTAGATTTACAATTTTATTTTGGCATAAATTGTGATGGTGGATCCAATCTTGTTTC